CTGCTAAACCCGAAACCCTAAACCCCGAATATTCAGCCCCTAACCCCTGAGCCCCCAGCCGTAAACCCTAAAGCCTAACCCCCAAACCCTTAGCCGCCCTAAGTAAACCCCTAACTTTAAACCCTAAACTCCTAAAACCTTAACCCTAATCCCCTTGAGCCCTTAAAACCCTAACCTTTAAATCCCTACACCCTAAACGCCTAAACCTGAACCCTACTTCTTCAGGCTGATTCCAAGGCCGAGACGGCGCGAAACCCGCGGGGGCGATCGTTGACTCCGCCACAGCGACGGCGCACGGAGGCCTTGGCGCAGTTTTGAAAGTACAATGTAGGGGCCTTGATGACTAGAATATGGCCATAGCCCAAAGCTGTGGGCCGTGTTTCTGACCCTGGCTTGCGGATTGCATACCAGGACACCCCAAGGAACCCTTCTCACAGCTTTTATGGCCCTTAATGGTGGGTATTTCGGGTAGTATCAAGTCTAGTTGTGGGGTCTAGGAGTCTAGGTAGAGGAGGAATCCGAATCATACAGTTCGTTTCGCTAGCAGGTGCTTCCCGACCCCTGTCAGTTCAGGGGCATTTGTTTCAAGTCTAACAAGCCCCGTGGTTCTTTCCCCAATTCAGAGGTTTCGGGCTCTAAGGGTCTAAGGTACTTTGAAGCCTGCGGAATCCGACTCCCACAAGCTGCATGGCATATGGTGTAGGGTTTTAAAGTTTAGGGTGTAAGTGTAGGGTTTAGGGAGAAGACTTTATACTAAAGGCTCCAGTTATCGTACAGTAGGTTACAGACCGTATATTGCAACCAGTGTTTTAGGTGGCTGCAGTCCTAGGGTGGTGCGAAAACACCGCAAAGAACATGTAAGATGGAAATGCAAATCCCAACGCCTTCCTGGTTTGGCGATAAGACTTTATACAACTACCGTAAGCTAAACCCTGGACACTAAACCCTAAAGCCCTAAAGCCCTACACCCCATTAAACTGCTACAGTCAGAAAGCCCCAGAGTCAGGTCCAGATCGAAGGCGCTGGGCCGCGCTGGCGCCACTGAGCCGTACCAGGCAGGGTTCAGGGGTTTGGGGTTTTGGGGTTTAGGGTTTCGGGCAGTGGCAATGTTTCGGGGAGTTGAGGGATTTTGAGGTGCAGTTAAACGCTCACTAATGATACCTGAATTTTGGCTAGCGCGGTATGTGGGCTTTGTGAGTCAGCTATACCAGAACCGTTTTTGTGCTTTAGGTGTTGTTCCCGAATGTTAGGGCTTTATTTTTCGGTAGGGCTTCAAGGTCTGGGGGTTCGGTTAAGGGTTGATCAGGATCCCATTCAGGGTCAGTGGTTTGAAGGATAGTTGCGGGGGTCAGTCGGGTTTAGGGTTTCTGGTCCAGGGACTCTCTCCGGCTGAAGTTGAAGATAGTGCTTCCCTTACGGTTTTGGGGTTTAGAGCCTTGGGTTTGGGGTTTGGAGAGTTTTGGGGTTTAAAGTGTTGGGATTTGGGGTTTGGGGCTTGCGAGTCTAGATCCTTTATCCTAGACCCTGAACACAGGGGCCTCAATAATTACCCACAATATTTTGGGGTTCCTGATTGTAGTTAACGTATAATGGCCCCAAAACCCTATTCTAGTTGTTAAGGCCCCCATATTAAACCCTAAACCCGTTTTTCTGTCTGGACAAGCGGCTTCACCGGATTGGCTTCTGGTGGAATTGCCTTCGGCCTTGTCTTTGCAAGAAGCATTGAACCCTGACTAATATAAGGGCCTCAAAAATTACCCACATTATTTTGGTGGTTCCTTACTATAGATATAGTATAGTATACTATACCCCAAAACCTTGTTCTAATTGCCCCTACATTAAATCCCAACCATGAGGCCCAGGATGCAGAAACAGTTGAGGGTTCAGGCATTCTTTCTCAGCGGATGGCACTGGGGTTGCAGTGGTTTCAGCCTAGATTTTAGGGGTACATGGAAGGTTTTCGTGGCTACGAAAATCACAAAAACCATTACCATCATATATGATGGAACCCGCCGATCTGCGACAAAGGCTCTCACGACGAGAATCCTTCCAAACCTCCATGCCCGAAGGAGTCCTAGCCCGAATCCGACGGCTGATGGGTGCAATCCGGACTTATCCATAGGGAGTTATCAATGTGAAGGAATAAACAGATGAATAGAAGGTAAAGCAGGATTCTGTCCATCAGCAGGAATATTGTGTTCGACCGTTTCTTGACTTATGATTACGGTCTCAGGCTCTCACCGAGTTGAATGTTGATGGTGCTTTTAGGTTGATTTGCGGGCTTCGCATTTTTTTGGGAGCCAAGTTGTTCCAAGTGGCGTATCGGAATGCAGGTACATCTTTTGCCGCACAAGGTCAGGCAAAAAGCTTGCAGCCACGTGACTGAATGCAGATACTGAGTTTTATGCCCAGGCGAAATTGAGGTGCTTGGGTCGCTCTTGGGTCGCAGCGGCCATGTCAAATCATCGTGTGCACTAGTCAAAAATAGGACCAGATGGAGACAACAGCCTGGCTACGAAGCAGCACATGTGCCCTCATCTGCATACTATAAAGGCCTTTTCTACGGGGTTCCCTATTATAACTACAGTAGAGTATACCCCAAAGCCCTAATCATTCTAATGATTAGGCCCCTACATTAGTCTTAGTTCATCCTCAAACCTTGGCCGCTCCACCTCGGTGCAGCAAATGTAACTGGCTTTGTACATCGAGAGCCTTGCTCTCTCCAGTGCACGAAATTCGGCGCAGCAATGGTGCCCCCCCAAAGGCTGCAGAGAGTTCACCTATGGTGGAGGTAACAGTATTATCCTCTTAAAGTTCCTGCATAGCTTGCAGATACGTCTTTCCCTTGTAGTCCCCATGTCGCTCCAGTATAGAAAGCTGCAAAACTCTAGGGTTATTCGTTACAAAGGCGGGGGGAAGTTTGGCAACAGGAGACCCCCGGACAAGTTCAGCCTCTCTTGCTTGTTTGAACCCCTCAAGTTTGGAGTTAATGATTCTGCTGCTGCTGATCAGGATGGTGGCGATGAAGAAAAAGAAGTAGATGATGATGATGATGATGATGATGATGAAGGTGATGATGATGACGACGGTGATGGTTACCATGACGATGATGGTGATGTTGTTGATGATGGTGATCAAAAGCGATGACGATGATGAGGATTGGACAGGTGTTCTCGTATATACTGTTCATAAGTGGGTTGGCCTGCCGGGTACGATGATGACAACAACGATGACTGGTCATTCACGTGCTTTGGTGGCTTTACTCAAGATGTCACACCTGAACTAAATTACCAGAACCTAGACGTTTGTACTCTCTTCTTATGAACCCCAGTGTAGAATTTCGAGAGACCCCACAAAAGGAAACATGTTCGGTAGTTCAAGGCCCTCAAGCCCCCCATTTTCACAGCTCCGACCCTGAACACTAAACCCCACGCTCTCATTTGTGTGCATCAGGTTTCGGAGCTGGTAGTTCTCCATATTTGGGTCTCTTTCAGGGTGCTTCTGATAAGGGTTCCGTACTAAATGTACTTGGGGGACCTCAACATCCGGGGCCCAAATTTTCACGGGTTGTATGTTTTAGGGTTTGATCATGATGTCCTGATTTAAGTCTCCATTTGCGGGCCCTCCTCGTCGCAGCTTTGAGGCACACTTTGCGATCACCGGCGCATGCTGTACGGAATTCGTTCTTGAGTCTAGGTAATTCAGCCTTCCCGACCCCATGCCAACTTCGGGCGACAAAAGTTCTTCAGCAGCTGGCCCGCTCTGTGGCTAGAAGCCCCGGTTGCCCATACAATGTGTTACATCACCAAATGCATGGAGGCTTTACCCAGGCAATCGAAGACTGAAACTCATGTACACTTGTAACTGGGCTTGTTACGGTGCGCGTTGGCGTTGTTCTGACCACTCTAGAAATCTAATCCCGATATAAATCCTGAAGATAGATCGTTGCAAGGCTGATCCCTCTCTACTTACTTGGACCCTCGGAACAGCCCTTAACCGGGAACCGATGCCGCGAACCGAAGATATGTCAACCATATACCCAACATTCGGGGTTTCATGCAAACGACGTTCCAACTTTCTATCTTCTTTTTCAATTAGATTCGAAACTCCAAGCCCAAAGGCGTAGACCCTAAACCATGAAAGTAAACCCTACAGCCTTTCTCAACCTCCTTTTTATCCTCGACCCTGCACCCTAAGCCCCTAAACCCCAAGCCCTAAACCCTAAACCCCTAAACGCCTAACCCTAAAACCCCAAAGCCCTAAACCCCTAACCCTAAACCACTAAAGCCTCTCTAAAGCCTGTCTAGAGCCCCTCTAAAGCCTCTCTAAAAGCTCCTTGCATCCGCTTCCCATGGGACCTCGGGACCCTCCGGAGAACTTAGACGACACCTCCGGGCCCAGGTAAGTTATGGGGGGTTTAGGGTTGAGGGTTCAGGGTTTCGGGATAGGGTGTAGGGTTTAGGGTTGAGGGTGTAGGGTTGAGGGTTTAGGGTTTAGGGTTTTAGGTTTAGGACTCGAGGCTTTTTTGGTCTAGGCATTTAGGGCCTTGGGGGGAATGGCTTAGGGCGTTTTGGGTCAATTGCTTAAGGGTTTAGACGGTTTAGAGTTTGGGGTTCTGGGCTTAGGGTAGAGGCTTTAGACCTTAGGCCCATCTTTTCCTCTACCTGAATTATTGGCTAGCAGGGATCTTCTTTACCTGCATATTTCGGCGGCTTCGAACCGCAAGCTTAGGATTGAAGTGACAGTAAAAAGTGCCATACGAAATCGTTGTGGACAGAAGAGAACCCCAGGTGATAACTTGCAACCACCCCTGCGCAAAATCATGATAATGTAGAGGTCTTCCCAAGATAGTTGTAGCATAATGCCAGCCAAGAGCATTTTCTCATTCAGTACTTTGCCATCCCTTCTAGATTCTAGCGCCCTTCTGAAACCTTACTAACCCCAGTATACACCTCTAAAACCGTGTTGGATCTCTTCGGGTTTAGGGCTCGGCGTCCGAGGTCGCTGTGGCATCGGATCGACTTCAATGGCAACAACATTGCAGCTTGCCGTTTCTGTGGTTTTGGATTTTAGTTGCTAGGGTCTAGTGTGATACAACCCTAGCAGCCCAGTTGCATAGACAGTCGGTTACTGTGCCCTAAGCCGCATACACGTCTTCTCGAAGAACCTACTGCATAGGTATGTGGGCCCCTTGGCTAAGATGCTTTTGCGCTTCACGTCTTGGGGTTTTATAGAAGAACATACTGCATGGGTATGTGGGCCCCTAGGCTAAGATGCTTTTGCGCTTCACGTCTTGGGTTGATAGCTTAGGTTTCGTGGGTTCAAAGGTTCTGCAGTTTATGGCTTAGGGTTTGGTTTTCAGGGTTGAAGGATATAGGGATTCTTCCAGGATTTGGTTTCTGTTTGGAAGTTGAGGAGTTGGGTGTGTCTGAACCGAGATGACGGGCTCAAGCTAGATGATGTTTTCGTCGGGATCAGGTTGTCTGAAAGCCCACCGCGAAACCCAGAAACCCAAACCCTAACACCCTAAACCTGTCATACCCCATCTGCTTTCCGGGCTAATTATTGACATTCGAAGCTCAATGCAGAGTCCTGTGTCCTGCCTCCACGCCCCTCCCAAGCACTAGAGTCTCGACTCGACATCCCAGACGATATTTATCGAGACCCAAGTTAGGGTTAAGGGCTTTGGGATTTAAGGGTTTGGTGTTCAAGGCCTTATATGGAGTAGTCATGAACCCTTAAGCTTAAACCCCACGCGCTGAGGCGAGCCTCCGAGGTGTTTTGGATCCTGTAAAGCACGGATGACATCCCAGGTGTCCCTTGCAGAGATTGACAAGCTCGTTGTCGAGGTGGTTCCCGCTCTTTTCCATTGTGTCTCAAGCGTGTTTTGTATACGTCTAAGCAATGCTGGGTTTCCCCTTGTATTATAGTCGCTATACAGTTAAGCTAAACCCTCAACACTAACCCAAGGCTCTACGTCAGGGTTTAGGGGTTTCATGGGGCTTTAAAGGCCATATTCCTTAACCTCCCAGCACCTGCCTGCTGCTGGTATAAAGCCTCCACAAGGGCTTGTGTTAAGACCCTACAAAGAAGTTTGTTTCCGGTAGGTCAAGGTAGCTTAAGGGGGTTTTGGTTCGCAGATCTTGCGGTTCTGTGTCCGGATCATGCGTGTTGCTGTGTAGGTTAGGCCCCAGGTGAAAGGTAGCTTGGCCCTGGCGCACCTGCAGAAGGCAAGCAAATGAACCGCTGAAAGAGCCGCAGATCACCCCTGTGTAATTAAGCATACCCTAACGTACCTTAAACCCCCTACAGCCCCTAAAAGGAACCAGACTTCACAGCCCATACCCTACGTAGCTTAAACCCCTATAACCCCTAAAAGGAACCAGACCTCAAGCCCTGACCCCGCACGGCTCTCCATCAGGAGTTCCCGGTGCTGAACCATAAGCCTGCATTGATGCGAGCGTGCTCTGGGCGGAGGGTTCCTGTCAAGGGTTTCAGTAAGGGTGGTATAGGATCTTCCTTTGCGGTTTCGGGGTTTGGGGTTGAGTGCTGAGGGTTTAGGGCTTTGCTCTATGAGGGTTCTGTAGTCTTCGGGCAAGGGTTTAGCATTAGGCATTAGGCGTTCAAGGTTGCTGAGAGGTTGGAGGGTCTTGAAATTCCAGTGGCAGTTTGATGGTCATCGCTGCGGCAGATGCTCTGCCCTGTCATTGCAGGGCTGTTCGATGACGCCTATCCCCCTGAACGCCCCTCCTCGACCGTATATCGCAACACCCCAAAACCCTCAACCCTAAACCCTAACCCGTGAACTCAACCGGATCTCAGGTGCTCGTGTTGAAAGGTCCCATAAGGGAACTAGTCAAAATAGATAAGACCAGCCATAAGACCGAGTATAGATAATTGTATAGATAATTGGCATACTCCCCATATACCCCTTCATTACTTCTTTGTTCCAAGAAAACATAGTCTTAGGGGCCAGATCTCTGAATGACGCGCCTTCCTCATGGCCCTCTGGGTTCGGCCAGATCTCGCGTTGATCTGCGAATGATGCGGCCGTCTATGTCCCCGGTGTGGTTTGGTGGACGCCACCCGTAAACCCTTAACCGTAAACCCTCATATAGGGCCCTCAATAATTACCTGTACTATTTTGGAGGGTTCCTTATTATAGTTATATTATAGCATCACAATATAAAAACCTATTCTAATCATTAAGGCCCCCACATTACCCCTATACCCTACATCCACAAAGCCCAAAAAGGCAACCAGGAGGCCCGCCACTCGGAGCCATAAAAGGGCCTTAAAGCAACACAACCAAAGAAACGCTACGAAGCCGGAGGTATAAAGCTGCCATCCGATCCGATGGAGACAGCTGCGGCCTCAGCAGCTGTGAAAAGCACAGGAGCCGGAAGAAGTCGCGCAGGGTCGTGTAGGTTTAGGGGTTGCCGTAAGCCATGCACCTGGCAGTTTCAATGCTGCACAGTCTTATGCCCCATGTGAATCCCTTCAAAAAAAGCCCGTACAAAGCCCCGAAGGTGCTATTGTGCAGCCGTTTTGGAACTCGCAGAATCCCACATAGATCCATTCTAAAGTCTAAACTCCTCACAGACGCCCGCTAAGACTCCATTAGCCCCACAACTGCACAACCCTTAGAAAGCCCTGAAGACAGCCTTATAGGGTTTAGGGTTAGGGAGCCCTAAATGCAAAGTCAGCTGTGGTGCTGAGCCAAGGCGACGCATGGGTTGAGAAGCACGAGTTCAAGCCGTGGCCTCATAGGGGAGGAGGGGGCGGGGTGGCTTCCTGGGTCCTCACTGCGGAACTTAATTGAAGTTGCCATGACTTGGGGTTCCTGCAAGGGTTCTCCAGGGGCTTAGGGCTTAGGAACTTAATTCAAGCTACCATAACCGGAATCGACAAAAATAATGGTAGCTTAAATAAAATTATTGCACAAGGACACAGTTTCAGAACACTAGGGTTCGACTCTGTTCGTTACTCTGGGATCCCTGTAACTGATGATTGAATATATATATATATATATATAAGAATACAAATATCCATCTCACAGCATTGTGGGTTCCCTCTTCGGGATCACCGCAATTTAGACTAGAGCTGGACTAGACCAATAGTGTTAGTGGTCAAACTTGTGTCCTACCGCAGTATTCTGGAGGAGATCGTAGACCCAAGTAGTCTCAAAAGCCTGCCCTGGGTTCCACTCAGGAAGCTGTTGGGCTACCTGATCTACTTCAACAAGCTCTTCTGGGTCTTCGAGAGTTGCGACGGTGATCGGGACAGGTCGAGCGCTGGGGGACTAAATGAACCCGAAGTCCCAACAAAAACCCAAACCCTAAATCCCCCACCCCACCTAGACTTAGACCCCCCATCTACCCTTATTAATCATACCCTAAATAACAAACCCTAAACCCCTAAACCCCTAAACCCCAAACCCTGCAAACGGCCACGAGGGCTCTCTTGAGGCTACCTTGAAACCTCCTGGCAGGCGGCTCACCTACAATGAGTTCAAGTGGTGTCTCAACACGGCCGGTGCAAGGATGTGGCTCTCTGAGAAGTGTCGCAGGGCTTGGGTTGCAGGTTGTTTCGGCGAGTTAGAGTCTTGTCTGGGAGGGTTTAGGGCTTTGGGGTCTGGGGGCGTAGGGGTTAGTGGTAAAGGGGTGTCGGACTGGCTGCGGTTTGGCCGGCGTGCTGGTTGCTGTGGGGCCGGGTTGGTATACGGTTGTGTATCTTACCTCTCTTTGTGGTAGCAGCCTCAAGGTGTTGCCCAAGGTGTACAGTGTACAGTTTTAGTGGTTAAGTTTAGGGCTTGAGGCTTCATGTTGTTTGATTGGATCGGGGCTAGGGTGTTTTTAGCTTTTCGGGTTTCAGGTGCAGGGCCGTGCAGGGTTGTGGACTTACAAAGTATCAGTAAGCTCATTTCGGCTAGAATCTTGTGAGGCCGGCGGGGGTGAAATATGATCGAAGGCTGAAGGTTCGAGGTTTACAGGATTATCGAGCGGCCGACGTAGGTCTTGGGATTCTGAGGATGCTGACGCTGAAGCTTGCAAGCTTGGAAATGTTCTAGATTGAGGATGTTTCGTTCAAAGAGCAGAGCTCGCAGACATCCCCTTCCGTCCAGTGAACTAAACACTTGAGTTTATAGGGTTCCTAAACGCCAAAACTTCATCGGCCATTGTCGTTCTATGCTCAGTTTTGGCTGGGTGCGTTGACAGTCAGCCCGTGCATGTGCTTGCTTGATTTTCGTTCAGGACTGTTGAGCAGCCCACACCAGTGAACCACTGGGGGAGGTGGGATACCATGAGGTGGGGGCCAGGAGTGGGGGCCTGGCAGCACTGCACCATATATAAAAATATATGTATATAATACAGACATACAAGTAGTTAGTTTTGTTACCTTCATTGAACCAGTATAGCACGCTCCCAACCCGAGAGAGAGAGAGAGAGCGAGGTAGATAGATAGATAGATAGATAGATAGATAGATAGGTAGATAGATGGATAGATAGATAGATAGACAGATAGATAGGTAGATAGATAGATGGATAGATAGGCAGATGGATATGTGTATATATATATATACACACACATATAACTTTGACGCAGTTTATTGGGCCTGGGCTTAGTTTCATGCTGTAGCCTCAGGGTTGGCATGTGGGTCTCAGGGTTTTGGGTTTACGGTTTATTTACGTTTCTGTCTCCGAATGCAATCCCCAAACCCTAAACCCACGTCGAATGCAACGCCTGAGGTCGGAGAACGAGATCCGCAGCGATTTCAGCAAAGTGGATCGTAACGGTGGAGGCCTTGAAAGCTAAACTTCTAAGGCCCTCAATGTTCGAGGGCTTACGGTTTTAAGCCGTAAACCCGTACCCCTCAAACCCTAAACCGTAAGCCCTCAAACCCAAATCCCTAAGCCCAAAAGGCCGGATCGGGATCCGAAAGGCCTCCGAACGAAATTCGTATAATAGGTGAGCAGGTGAGCCCCACATGCAAGTGCCCTCACAGAGTTAGAGGAGGAGGAGGGTTTTGGGGTTTGGGGTTTAGGGCTTGGTGTCGAGGATTTAAGGTTAAAGGTTAGGGTTAGGGTCAGGGTGCTCTGAGTATCAGAGTAGCACCGAAAGGAGGAAGGTGTTGGATGCTGCCGTTCCCTGCCTTGCTACGTGTATACCTGCGCTGCTACTACCACGGCTGTTTGTGATGCGGATGTTGGCGGTGAGGTTTCTACTGCAGCTAGGGTTTGCGGCTGAAGGGCTTCGTAGCGTTTGGAGGATCTCCTGTCTCTTTTCCCTTGCATCTTTGGGGCTTCTGGCAGGATAGGGGGGTTTGAATGTAGGTTCCCTATTGATGTGTGTCTAGGTACCACTTCGACACCCGGGGGGTGAGTGCTGTCAAGTTTTGTCGTTGATGTGATCGCTTTGGCTGTGACTGCCTGGCGCTGAGCCACGAAGCCATAGAACCTCTCCAACGCAAAGCTGCGAACCCGAGCAAGCCTCAAGCCGAAGACTATGACCAGCTCAAGCCTAAGTAGGGCTATAATTGGGGTTATAAGTCCCGTAACTGGGGTTATCTTAATTACTTACTTGTAATCGTACTTACGAAGCCCCCTGGGCCTTTAAGAAAGAAGCCTACAAGGTTCAAGCGCCAGCCTTTCAGCGGAGTCATGTTGGCCAGGAATTATCTTGTTCGACGAATTCTGCAAGTACTTCACCATGAAGTCATGCCAGCACCTCAGGCCCCCAAACCTCCCAAATGCTTCGTCGAGGGCCCAACTTCCATGATGAGTAGAAGTGTCATTGTACACTGTGCATATAGTTGCATTCCGGTCTACCCCAAAACCCGAGTCTGGTTTTTAGGACAAAATAGAACCCCTAATTAATCCTAGATAGAAACCCCGTCTGTTTATCAAGGGGTCCCATGTTGCCCTCCAGCGAGATCCTGAGGAACTCACCCTTGCTGCTTTGTGGCTGAGAGAGGGGCAGCCCGAAGCCGCCTAAGAGGATCTTAGTAGGAGTGTTTTTTCTTCTGAGGCTATGTTTAGGATTATTTTTTTCAGAGTGTAAAGGGACAACTACACAGTTTTCCTTACCTCGGCCTGAAGGCCACCGATCGATGCACGATTTGTCCAGCAAGCCGTAAGGTTTCTACCAACCGGGGTAAGTCATGACACGATTATGGGGTTTAGCTGGATTTCCCTTTGCATTCTGTCCCCAAACCTCAAGCCCCAAATACGTGTTTAACATATTCTGAGGGTTCTTATGAGTAGTAGTCAGCATCCGTGCAGTCTTACTGAGGCCCGGAGTGCTTGACTGAGATGGCGCAGTGAGAATCCTACTTCCGTAGGAAGACAGGAATCTCGCTTGAATGCTTAGAACGTTCGTAATGGGGGTTCTTGAGCCCTGAATCCTAAAGCCCAAGTCCCGCAGTTAGGGTCGACATAGAAGCTTCATCGGTTTCATTCAATAGGTCTCCTTAACATCAACGCAAAACAGGCCAAAAACACTCGTAATTGCAGCCATTGGTCAATGGTAAGTAAACCCTCCTGAACCCTAAAGCTTAAACTCACCAAGCTAAGCCGCACTAAACCCACACGGCGCATACGTAGGAAGAGTATATGTGAGTATATAGTTATCTAAAATAGGGTCCCTTTTAGGTCCCAAATATGGTACGGCACCCTTGTGAAAAGGGACCTCAAAAGCCACCCTAATTCAGAGAACTGCCCATGTACTGTTCGACATAGAGCTGGGGGACTTTGGCGGTTGTTACCCTGAGACTCTGACATAACATATGGGATTCTCTTGATTAGGGGCCCCTTCTAGGGTACTATATTGGGGATCTAAACGGGGACCCTAACTAATAGAACTACCCGTATACTTGGGCCTCTAAGCGGTTCCTATGTGGGTACTTCAAGGCCTACGTAAGTACATACTATGTAGGTACCTGGAGCCTTAGGGTGTAGGCTAGAGCACCGAGTCCGGCTTACGGCTTACGGGATACTCAAGAACCCACATCATCCCACCCCTCGTCTAACTGGGAAAATCAGAGTCAGTGTCAGCACCATCAGCATCTTCGTCCTCGTCATCGCCAGTAAAAGTAAAACCATCATCACCACAAAGCCCATCAGCATTGTCATCACCATGGTCATCACTGCCTTTCTCCCTCTCCTCCCCCTGTCAGACCATTGTAAAGCCCTCAACCCTATCAAGCCTGAACACTCTCCTGATATATCGCAAAAAAGACCCTGATTATGACAACGCTAAACCCTACACCCTAAACCCTACAAGACCCTTATTACGACGCAGAGTTCGAATTCAAGAAGCTGCCACCACGGCAGACTCAGAGCCCATGCTTCGCAACCGTCCTCGACCTAAGGTTTAGGGTTTCAGGTTTAAGGTTTAGCGTTTAGGGTTTAGGATAGGGTTTAGGGTTTAAGGTCAGGGTCTAAGGTTTAGGGTTTGGGATTTAAGCCTTGGGGTTCGTGATCCACAGGCCCCAAGAATCAGAGAATCTACAAGAGTTTTCGGGTTGAGTGTTCAGGGTTTAGGGGCTTCTGCAAGGGTTTGACGAGGGTTTTGTCTTGTAAACACGGACAGTGGGTGTATCAGGGCTTTAGAGGGTCCAGAGTTAGTATCCCATAGGTTCTGGTACTTGTATAGTATGTGGGGGTCATAAGATAATTGGACACTTGGACCCCTAGGGTAAGAACCTGACTCACATTGTAGAAGGGTCCATGTAGGTGTCGACAAGGTTCCAACGTAGAGGCCGTGTTCATTAAACCAGGGTGTTGGGGATGGTATTCCAAAATTAGCTGTGCGGAGACTTTTGGTGATTGTTATTCCTAAAGATGGCACCCGCCCTTATAGAGGCTTCTTCTCCATAGACCTCCTGCAGGGCTCCATCCGGCTGCACCATAGAAAAAACCCTAAGCTATACGGTAGCTCCCGGCCTTATAAGGGGAAGGGCTTGCCGCGTGCCCAACCGAACCAATTCTCTTCAGAAGCTAGACAGAATCCCTCACAAAATGTGTGTCTACCACATTGTTTGGGGAAATAAAGCCTTAAAGAAAGCTAAACAGCCGACCCCTAAGTTACGTCCTAAACCTGTCGGGTCTTGGGGGTTCTCGTGCGTTGTTTCCGCGCACGTGGGAAGCATCCGGCTTGCACGCAGTCGGTGATGGCTGAGAAGATCGGAGACGAAGGGCTCAGAATAACCAGGGCGACTAAGACCAACCGTCATAATGACAACCATGGTAATGATATGTACATAATGCTAATGACGACAACATGAATCCGGTGTGTTGCGGATGCAGAAACCTACTTGTGTCACTGGCTTGGCCCGAATTTGAGCGGATCACGACCTACTATGTTGTAGGGTTCGGGGCTGTTACAGGTACAGGCTATCCAAGAAGCTTTAACGGGTTCACCCTAAACCCTAAATCCGAAGCCCTGTTCCCTAGACTCAAAGCCCCTAAGCTAGAGCCGTTGAACCCTGGGTTAATCTATAAGCCTCTCAGCACCAAAGCCCAAATGCTCTCCTGAAGCCAGCTTCGAACGGTGTCATACAGGGGTGGGACTATCTATCTATAGTGTTCCCTGAAAGTCGTCCTTGCATAATATATATATATATATATGTATATATATATATATGTATATTCATTCTAACATGCCCCAGAACCCCACTCCAGTTATCAATTATCTTAAGCACTAAGCAAGGGGCCGCCAGTGGTACTGTAGTTTGGTGTTTCAGAGTGCCCACATCACTACAATCAAGGGGAATTTGAGGAACTTAGTTCAGCTAAATCTCCCTGATGGGTCAGTGTTCATAATGGGGCCTTTCTCGGAGGAGGAGGGCTAGACTCTCTTTTTTGATCGGTTTAGGGTTTAGGGTTTAGGGTTTAGGGTTTAGGGTTTAGGGTTTAGGGTCCATACGAAGCTCGCTTCAAGGATTGTCCTCGAGGTTAACATCTGGCTTGGGGTTCGGGATCATGTCCATCCAACCCCTTCTGCAGCAAGAAACCCCTCCCAAAAATGCATCCCCAAGAGGTCCAAGTACCAACAGTACCAATAATTATCGTAGACTCTTGGCAGATTTGCGCATCCTAAAGCTATATATACCCTAACGGTACTAGACTTGGACCCTTTGGGACTTGTCTCGAGCTCTGGAGGAGGATTTCACCCCCCCAACCGACACGATGAGTGTGCGGAAGGGAAAAAGATCCGAGGCCCTGCCTGCGGGGCGTGAAGAGCATGCAGGGAATCACTACCTCTAGTCACTCTAGTTTCCATTGACATTCCTTTCTTGGGTTACCTTATAATATCCTGAAAAGAAAACCCGTTAAACCAAACAAGGCAACCAAGAGGGTTTTTATAAAAGCCCCCTTATAATATCCTGAATATCAAACTGGTTAAGCCAAAGAAGGGAACTACAATGGAGACTGTGGGTAGAAAGGGGTTCTTGAAGTTTCGGAACCGGATGAATGAAATAATCGCTAGGACCGCTTGGGCCTTGTGCGAAGATGTATCCTGCCAGAGGATTCTTACTGGGTTTAGGATATAGGGTTTAGGTTTCAACAAATTCTTAAACCTTAAACCCTAAACCCTAAAAGCGATTCTGTATTGCGGGCTTTGCGTAGTAGTCGTGAGAACGCTCCCTAAGGCTCCATGTGCCTACTTTGTAATTTAGTATAGGGGCTTTAAGGGCTTTAATAGTTAGAAAAGGGTTTGGGGCCCTTTATACTACGATTATAATCCGGAACCTCCCAAAATGCTATTGGTGTTTATTGTGGCCCCTACACAAGATCCTTAGAATAGGGTATATGCTGTATGAGTACATGGAGCCGCAGGAACATGAAGGTTCGGCTTGCGCCCAGTCAATTGCTTTGGAGTTGGATGCCTACCGACCATGTGTAAGAACTGAACCCAACTGTGATGCCGCTGGGGAAATACAGCATACAAGTACAACCCTTAAAGGGACCCTGAACCCTAAACGTAGACGTAGACCCTGAGACTACACCCTGCCCTTAAACGAACCCTACTCCAATCATTAAGGCCTCTTTCCAGAGCTTTTTCATTTACGTGGGAGCAAGTAACAGGTCTACACTAAGCCCGAAAGAGTTGGAACATGAACCCAAGAACTTATTACTGCATTCTGAGCAATGTTGCAACTGTCTGGCTTGGCCGCAGCCCACATCTAAGACTCCAACTAGACCGAAGAAGTAGGTACATGTAGGTATTGTTTATAGAGTACTAGGGTACTATTTGTATACAGATCGGGAAACACCGCAACCCTGAACCCTAAACCGTGAACTTCAGGTTGAAGCCTTCGGATGTCCGCAGCTGTGGGCTTCGCTTGTTCTCATCCTCAGGGTCGAAAGCCAACCTTACCTTCAGAGATTTCTGAGATCCAAGTATGGAGTGATTTTGTTGAAGAGATTTGTGAGTTTATGTCGGGTCGCGGTGAGGATCTGGACGATCCGAACTTGGACGTCAACGGAGACGATGACACTCAGGCGAGCCATTGTAGAGTAATTCAGTAAGCCTGGAAAATTTTGGTGTGATGGGATCCCCGCAAAGGTAATAGGTGAACCATGGTTAACCTTTAGTTAGCATTCAAGTCTCACAGAGGCATGTGCCAGTCGGGTTTGTGCCGATAGCATGACGGTGCGAGCAGGATATTGGAACAGAGCGAGCTCCAAAGTGGCTTCTCGTCCATGCAGCCTTGACAGGTCATCCTCAACTTCACTGAGGATGAGGACCAACGGCTCTTGTACTTCAGCAGGGGGCCTGTTCCTGCAGTACAGTTTTCGGCGTTGACCCAGAGTCATGCTAATCGGGACTTGGCACAGTCGCAATGTTTTTCGAGTACTTCTCCTTGCTGCACTCAACCAAGATGAAGAGCATCTGCAGTGAAGAACCACTTTAGCCAGCATCATCATTGTCGCCTCATTCGGTCGTTGAGTTCGTCAAGCTTGTCGCAATTCCCAGCATCAGAGTTGTGGTCATCATCAGACATTCATCCATACTCGTAGTCCGCTGGTAAACTCTACCTCACACTGGTTTCAGGAGAGACATGCTTTCCAGACGTCTTCCGGTACAAGCAAGAGAACCTCCTTCCGCGATCCCTAAACACCCGTACTACGACACTACGTACCTGCTTTGCAGCCCAACCCTCAATCGCAAAGTTGTTCGCTGACCGACACCCAAACACGGATGTACTGACTTACGAAGTCCCAAACTCGCAAAACCCCTGAATTCTAGACTTGGCCCTAAACCCAGCGAATCCGAAACCTCTTCCCGAACGACCCTGCTAAGGGACTTCGAAGTTTCC